CACCCATGTACCCATCAATCATCTGTTCACCCATGTACCCATCAATCATCTGTTCACCCATGTACCCATCAATCATCTGTTCACCCATGTACCCATCAATCATCTGTTCACCCATGTACCCATCAATCATCTGTTCAGCCAGTCTTTAATTCCTGTACATTTATTGTATTGATGTCTGTTTTTTTTTGCTTAGTGTGTACGTTCATTCTGCTATCTCCAATTGGCGAACATGTATACACTCAATAAAACTCAAAGACTCTGTCCTCAGTATCGTGTAAGTATTGCAAGATTGGATATCGATTATTTTTAACAAAAGTAGTTGCACACTTCAGCAGAAATGCACTGTTTCACCTTTAAATAAATTGAGTGAAGGACGATGTACACTTGTTCATAGTTTGATCTGTGTTATTTGCAATGAGGACCAGCTGGATGAGAAAATTATTGTGACTAGACTATACATTTACATATAATTCTTGTCTACATTTGTAAGTTAAATTCTTGAGCCAAAAGAATTCTTGTCCAGTAAAAAATTGTGTTTATGCTGTTTATTATTTCACCTTGAACCTAAACTTTGCATCTTCCAAAAAGCTYTATGTTGAGAACGGATACGAGGAGGAGATATAGACCAATGTCAAAATACCTTGTTGGGAAGAAGGTCGAACGACGATCGGAGGGAAATGGCATGGCCAAAAAAAGTGACTTAGACTATTTTGACAAACAAAATTTGACTTTGCATAGAAATGATGATTAAATGGAATGGAGTCAACGTTTGACACACACTATCTTACAGTACAAATTGTTGCTCATCAAATAGCAAAACCCATGACTACTTTCGGTCGTGCAGTCGACGTTTGACAATTGACATTCGCCATTTTATCCTACTACTTTTTTTGAAATATATACAATATATGCACAGCTACTTGCGAAAACGTTGTCATAGAMAATAGGACATTTGTGTTTAGTAAAAAGGAATAAATTAAAACAAGACAAAGGATGATCACTGAGGCTGAACGCTTTCTTTTGTCTTGTTTTAATTAATTCCTTTTTACTAAATTCAAGTGTCCTATTTTCTATGACAACGTTTCTAAGTAGGTGTATATGATGATATGATATTTATATACAGCTATCTGCAATAATTCTGGACCACCTACACTAATATTCCTATATATATAAAAGTAGCTTTAGAAATTATGGRATACCATTGCTGATAATTTTTTGGACAACTAAAAGTATATCAGCGAATATATTCCATAATTTGAGTTTGATATATTTGAAATATGGCAGAGCATTTCTGGATGTGCTCTTAAAAATGCCATTCGCGATGAATACACTGTGATGACTTTACTACGCGCTTTTGTTTTATTGCCGGATTTCGAACCGTGTGGGACTGGGCAAAATCCCCTAATTGGGTAATCATGACATAAGACTTACATAGAAAGAAAGSCCTTGTTGACAAATGCAAAATTCCAAAATTTGATGTAAATCAGTCCAATAGTGAGCGAGTTACGGCCTTTCAAATATTCTAATATTTCCAAAGAAATGTATGGAAAGCCGTGAATGTGCCCGGAAAATGGTCAAAATTCGGACACATTTGCGGCTTCCCATACATTTCTTTGCAAATTTTAGAATATTTGAAAGKCCGTAACTCGTTCACTATTGGACTGATTGACACCAGATTTTGACATTTTGCATTTCTCAACAAGGGCTTTCATTCTACATGTATGTTAGTCTTATCTCGTGATCATCCAATTAGGGGATTTTGCCCAGTCCCCACTCGGTTTGAAATCCGGCAATTTTATGCAATCGAAATGTATAGGTTTATGTTTTGTCCGAAGGAAAAACCGTCACCTAAAAGGACTCTCCTAAAATTAGTTTGTTTTATTCAACAAAAAGATCATCGCTTGATGTTGTGTATTTACTCGTAAAGTAAGAGCATTGTTAAGAACTCCTGCAGAAATTTTGAACGAAACCTGAATGTTTTATTTGATGTAATGTAGTCATGTCAAGGGTAGAGTCTTGGTGGCACTTGCTGATGGCACCGTTGCAATATTTCACAGAGCATCAGGTATTATGTACTTTTGAATCTCTTCTTAGAACTCTTGCTTTGATTGTCGCAAGATAATCATACTTTTTTTTCAAATATAATAACCCTATGGCATAATTACGTCTCACCAAAAAAATCTTCTTTTAGTGCTAAGAATTTTGGTCTCCAAAGAAGGACAAAATKCTTGCATACGACAGAAATTGTCCATGATCAATCAGTGTTCCATGATATATATCAAAACTAGTTAACATTGAAAGAGAGACAATATCCAAAGGTCCAACTTTCCACTGTTTCTGAGTATTTATCCCCACTGTAATCATGCTGGTGACGTCATTTTGCTATAGGGCAATTTCTGGAACCTGTTCTAGTTAATTAATTTAATAATTCTGAAAGTTCATTACTTGTAAAACGGTTTCATTTACTAAATGTGTTTCCATATAGAGTGGTTTTCCGTCAACCATGAAAACACTATAAGTCTAATATTTATTAGTAGTTTGTAATAGACCAATACTAATAGTCTAGTCTAGAGTAGACCTGTATCCTATTGATAGGTACAACATATTCATCACAAAAACAAAAAGTTTATTTATGTCAATTTTTTGTGGTTAGCTATTTGTCTATAGTCTATATGTCTAAAAGTTATGTTGACTATTACTAATGGCTACTAACTAGTTGGTTTCTTTTCATGGTTGACGGAAAACCACTCTAACAGATGGCCAGTGGAACTTCAGTAACTACCATCTCCTTGACCTTGGTCGGCCTCACCATTCTATACGCTGTATGACTATGGTCCATGATAGGGTGTGGTGTGGCTACAGGAACAAGATACAGGTCATACATCCTAGGACAATGCGCGTTGAGGTAATAGTATCAACTATGTAACTAATATATTCAAACTTATCGGCTCCGATTATTTGTGTGTTGAAGTATCCAAGTATTGATGGCGGAAGGTTACTAACGAGTGTAATGGCCACTACTGGCATCAAACAAAAACAACAACCAAACAAACATCAAAACTACGTAGCACACTAAGGCTCACTAACACATGGTGTACGGTGTATCCATGGTAACGTGTTATATCTTAAACTTTTCGCGAGAGGTTTTTGTGCCTGTTTTTCATAGTTTATATAATAGATCGTTTTCGTCTGTCCAACCATAGTTACTAACACTATTGGCGTAACTAACACTATTTGCACAATTTAGTATGGTAATTTGACGGTTATCAATGTTTGTAGAAAACATTTGACGCTCATCCACGTCGAGAAAGTCAAGTGCGACAGTTAGCATGGATTGGTGATGGTGTATGGGTTTCTATCAGGCTGGACAGTACCTTGAGATTGTATAATGCCCACACATTTCATCATCTACAGGATATTGATATTGAACCATATGTTAGCAAGATGTTAGGTGAGGCAAGATTGATTGTTGGCTGTAGTACATGTAAATAGCGATAGTTGCGAAGATCGTCTCGCGACTTCATTGCAAATCGATAAAAGTCAATTGAAGTGCCATATTGAAAGTTCACTCGTGCATATTTTCCGCAGTCCGGTAGAAATGGTAGATTTTGTACTTTTTTGAGCAAAAATTCCCGCGAAGTTGCAGCCAAATTTCAAGACTGTTCGAAAGTCAGGCGATGGTTGCGCGACGATCGCCTCGACAATCGCAGGGCTGTTTTCACTTTGGAATTGAGGTGCGCGAGGGCAAAGTCGCGATTGTCGTTTTTTTTACTGTTTTTTAGTAAAAAGATACAATAAAAAGTACGGTATGTAGTACTGAATAAAGTGTAGTTGTAATAAACGCCGCCCCCGAATAGACGCCGCCCTCAAATAAACGCCGCAGCTGGATCGTTAAAAATGAAATAAACGCCGCGGCGTCTATTCGAGTTTAGTATGAATATATTAATGGTCTATCACTCATACTGCGCTGTGATTGGCTACTGTACTAATGGTCTAATTTGTGATAGACCACACGCGGAAAAATCAAAATATATAAATTCTAAATTATTTTAAGGATATTTCAATTTGTTTTCATTATTTGACCGATTAGTATGTTTATACTAAAACAATTAGACCTCTCGGCCTCGTGGACTACGAGCTAATAGCGCATTCGGTCTCGCGGACTCGGCCTCGTGGGCTATTAGCTCGTAGTCCACTCGACCTCGAGGTCTAATTGTTAAAAATACGGTAGTTTCCAGCGGGTATCCTATACTGGCATATGTGTCTCTATGGATGGATGTAATAATATGAATTATCAATGAGTTTTTATTAATGGCGAATAACAATATTTGTTCTTCAGGTACTGGGAAACTTGGTTTTTCGTTTGTAAGAATTACCTCTTTACTGCTGACAAACGATCGTCTCTGGGTTGGAACAGGAAATGGAGTTATTTTGTCAGTTCCACTCGTTGCTGCAAGGCCTGCAAGGGACGAAGGAGATCACATCACAAGTAGCCCTGGTACGGGGGGACCTGGTGGTGCCGTAAGAGTCTACAGCAACGAAGGGAAAGATGGAGAAACTGCACCTGGCACTGGAAGTTTCATGCCGTATTGCTCAATGGTAATGTACTCTAACTTCAACTATAGTCTTATGATATTAGTATGCCATAGTCGTGTTCTGGATTGTAAAGTTCGTCTCATATTAGTCCGATGAACACGGTCAGTAGAGATAATTTTTTTTACAAAAACTGTATAACAAAATGATAAAGTTTTTTGTTGAATACTGACAATTTTAACGTTGCTTGTCAGGTCAATGCTCAATTATCATTCCACGGACATAGAGACTCTGTAAAATTCTTTGTCGCCGTCCCAGGCTCCATGAAACGTGCAACGGTTAGTTCTTCTGTTAGTACCCAGACCCAAACAGGAAGCAAACCATCAAGTCCCGCACAATCTCAGACTCCAAGCCCCGAGAAGAAACTTCAAGAAATGACGCTAGTATTGAGTGGAGGAGAAGGATACGTAGACTTCCGTTTGGGAGATGGAGAGGAAGTGGCGATGGAGGATCAAGCAGGGGATTTGATATCAGTAACTATCAAAGGCCAGTCAACAAATGAGCGCAGTCATATTATGGTCTGGCAGGTAGCATGAAATAATGAATTATCTACTCTTCTTTTCAAGAAGGTTTCCAAAGCGAAATCCTAAGGCCAAGGTTCTACGCCGAGCTTCACATATGTCGAATACAATTCACGAATGAAATGCGAGTTGTAATGTATAAATCAATTTTATTCGATAGCTTTTACGACTTAACGTCGAAGAAAAGCCAATGGCATGGTAGTTGGTTTATACGTCGTATCTCACTTGTGCCAATATGTAACAAATGCTTCGTATGAAAAATCCGCCATATTGGAAAACAAAGTGACCAAGAAAGGATTTGGGTTTCATATTCGACGTCTAAATCAAATGCTTAATTAATGTATTTTTTTATTGTAGTTGGCTAAAAAATGAATTGTATGCGGCATATTTGAAGTCCTGCGTATAACGTAGACCTGTAGGATATTCAGTATGATTGGGTGTTCAATTGTTACTGAAGCATGTTTAAAACAATGTCTATTCATTCAATTATTTTTCAATTCTATTCATTTGTAATTTAGCGAATCACCATGACTTTTGGTTGATTAGTTWACATCAATTAGCTCGTATAAATTCAGTGAAGAAGGCAAATTTTATTTCGGCACTCAACACAAAATGTCTAAAGTATGAGCCTGTTATTGACCTGCATGTTTAAGAACCCCGACACGTTGATTCAATCATATAATGGTATAGAGTGCGTGACATACAACGTGTGATATTAAACTAGTCCATAAAAGTAACAGTGTTAAGAACAATACTACCRACACTTGTACCTCGCTGTTTACTCTCGAGCGAACACAAAATTTCACGACTACCGAACGTTACCTCGAAGAGCTGCCGAAATCGCGGGTTGTAAGGCGAGAGAGACTTGTGGTAAAAGACAAGCGCTTGTCTATCATTCAGTGCATCACGTATGGCGTGAAATTAGTAAGTAAAGCTTGTATATGCGTGAGAAAATATGAAAAATTGAAAAGGCTAATTCATGAAATTGAAAAAGAGTATTTCAAGTTCCTCGCGTTTCTAACCGGTGGTTTCGGCAACAACGGGATTAACGCTCGGYTACTGGGAAATTTCGTGAGACTTGGACGTAACAGACGTTTCTTTTTTAGAGTTGTTTTCATAAACCCTTGAAACAAACCGTTAGAGGAAAAGTGTAGTAAAGTTCACTGAAAAAGAAAAAAAAAATCAAAAGAAAGAACAATAAAGTGTAGCATGCACACTGTCTAATATGAAAACGTAAAATTGTATTGTAAAAGGTAGACTTTCTTTCGTGGGTTTAATTCCCTCAATCTAGTCAAACGATTAGTCTTGTTTACAACTATTGTGTCTATCTATTACAACAAAAACTAAAAGCTACTATTTGCTGTACAGCATGCACGACTGCCTTGACACAATCGCTCCGAACTTCTCAAACATTCGAACGTCGAGCTGTTCATGTGCAAGTAAGCAAGTATAGATTGACAGTTACACTTGTTATACTGTTGTCCAAAGCTGCGTTTAGACCTATTTTCTGATATTCGTATTGTTTTTGAATCCGTGCAGTATCCATCGTTTTCCGTGGTTTCGTGTAAATGATAAAAGGGAAAAAAGAAAATATAGTTTTTCGTGTATTTGAACGCAGCATTATAAACAATTTACAAATTTAGGTTTGTTGTGCGTTT